CAAGGACATCAAATATCCCCCAAAGTCTCGGGACACATCTGGTTCATCCTCCTGGAGCAACACCTTCAAGAGAAGACTTGGAGGATTATTTTTTGTAGTAAATACAGATATGTTAGCGTGTAAACTGAAAATACCAAATGAGTGCTCAAGATAAACATACATAAGCTTCTGGTAGCCTTGGCCTCGAGTTGCCTCCCAGAAGTAGGGGTTAATTCTCCTCTCCTATTGAGGTAATTAAGTAGAAATTTTAAAGAAGCACTGGTAGGAATATTTGTTGGTTTATATGATGTAGTATCCAGATCTTCAGATCTACATCTTAAATTTATATTTTTTCCTCTCCCTCCTCTACCCCACAAATGACTTTGTTTTTTTGCACAAAGCAGAAATTTTTTGAGCAAATCCTCACAAAGGTTTAGAGAAAGACAAAGACAAATGATGTTTACAACCACATATCCTCACTCTTTTCCTAAATGCTCTTTCTTGGTCAACCAGAGCCAGCCTGTAAGTGGCTGCTCCCTCAGTGCATCTTACCTTTGCCTTAATTATTGCTTTGATGTAACCAAGGACATCCATGAGGAAAACAAATGCACCTCTGAGGAGAATAATTATTGGAAGCTTATAAATTATTTTTGCTTGAAGGGCTATGAAATTTACTAATGCTCTCTAGTGAGGCAGAAAATTGCATAGATCTTGGTAATAGAGACACTATCACAGATTGGATATAGGGACTGAAGGATCAATTTGCACCCTGAAATAAACCAAAAATAATCTGGCCATTCTGTCTGAAAACTGGTCCTCCAAACAATAAAAACTTGAATATATCCCATAAGCTGAGGGATCTCTGAAGATAAACCATGATATTAAGTGATATGATAATCATGTGACAAATTTATTTTCAACCATGAACAAGACTAATACATACATTCAAACTATGGTAAGTTTGGGGGATATTTTTCTTCAAGTACTTAGGGTATTATTATTTTGATTTTTATTTGATTTTTATTTGAGCCAGTCTTCCTAAGCCTGACTCCTGTGCATTCTGGACAGGTAGATGTTTTCTTTCCTTTTCTAAATGTTCCTCCCACCAAGTGTTCCTCCATGTTCATGTTCCATCAAGCAGCCTGCTACTCTTTCTATTTCAATCTAAGCATAAACAGCTCCCACTCTGAGCAACCTGAGACAAAACTCATGTAACCTGGTCCAATGTCAATATTGTCTTCCACTGATCCTGAAAATGGTTTCAGTGGATTCATGCTCCCTGTCCTCAGATGAATACTTGGGCAGACCCCATGACATTGTCTACTCAACAACCACTTAAAGTATCAGAAGAATTAAAATGTTCAATCTGGAAATAAAGGAAACGCCAACCTGGTTATAGCACAGAATCTTTCAGCCTCTCATGCAGGGCCTGCTGTAAGCATGCTGGTCTCCTACAGGCTCTGGGGGAGGGTTGACCTCTTTTCTCTTTCCCCTCTGTATGCCCAAACTTTGGCCATTTCTCACCCTTCCCAGAGCAAAGCAGGAGGGCAAGACTGGATTAATTATCTTCACACCCTGTTGATAGATGCTTTAGGCATATTCATTTTCCTTCAGCAGACTACTCAATCCTACATTAGCTTCTGGATTTCTAGAAACTATAGTTGCTGGGCTGCCCTCACTCTTGGGCTGAACATAGAGTGGTCCCATGCCAGCCCTCCCTCCCACATGGCCCCACCTTGCTCCCAGGAAATCCTTTGCCCAATAAACTCAGGGAAGGCAGGTGATTTTGCTGCCGAGGCTACCTCATGAGTTCCAAATGCAGGAAACATGTACAGCTCAACTAGCAGTCCCGCACACTAGCTCAGGATGCAGGAAGTGACAGTAGATCTCTCCAAAGAAATTTCTTTAACAAACTTCCCTCTCTCAATCCTCATGTTCGTGACGTGGCCAGTGGGATTCATGAGTTATGGAAAAGTTCTCAAATATCTACATTAAAATTTCTACTTGCTGGTCTAGCACTTTCCTTTGGAATTTCACATAACCTGAACATGCACCTCAGTCCAAACTTTAATTTAGTACCCTATTTTATTTATACACACATATATGTACATACATACATAAATGTACTTTCTAATCATTTTTAAAGTTCATTTTACTCTTACATAGTTAATAAAATTGAGGAATTTGAACAGTGGCAGGGGCATTCAGAGATATAAAATTCAACTCTTTCCATATATAGTGGGGAATCCAACCCTCAGCCCTCACAGAATATCACCCAGCATTGACTTGATCTGATGTTGGGAATAAACCCACATCTTCTTCCTCAGGCTTGATAACTGGCCAAGACTCCCCTCTGCCAGGTTAAACACCCCCTCCATTCCTCATATGGCCTGGAGTTCAGACCCTTGTCATCCAGGTCACCTTCTCTTGGATACTCTGAAATTGGTCTGTGTCCTCTATGAGGGGGCTACAGAGATGGGACACTGAGTAGACCCTGGGTTCCTATGAACAAGTGCCACAGGAAGAGAGAAGAAGGTGGTAGTTAGGGCCCAGGTTCTAACCCTACTCCCATACTTACTGGCTATGTAACCTTAGCTAAATTATTGAGAAATGAGAATGGTGATAAGTATATTCCCTACTTCATGGGGTTACTTACAGGGTCTGAATTAAAACTGTGAAACACTACCTGGCATGTAAGTTCCATATAGATGTCTACTTTCAAAAAGTTCTGTCCTTATTAGTGCAAATCAGGTTTGCAATTAAAAATTGCTCCTTCATGCAACGGTTCATTCAGGGCTTGATGAACCATTGAAACCCCCAAAATTCTTTCTTTCACATGAGCTGCTGCTCCCGAGGGACACTCTGTTACTTGGACTCTTTGAACTTCAATGCAGAACTAGACCTTCAACCTTATTGTGAACTCAACAGTCCTGTATTATTATCTCTTGTCCATATTTAAAATGTGTCTCATAGAGTAGCCTTTCAGGTTTGTGGCTGTCACAATTTTGATAAATGCCTCTTCTATACCTTTCTACTGATGAGTGACACCAGGTGACACAGGGACAGGGACAAAGCTTTGCCATTTGTCCACACCTTCCCTGCTTATCCTTAGGGATAGCAGGAGTCTTCGTTAAAAGACTCTGCTAAGACAGGACATATACTTTGAGATTCTCCATGAAAGATCAGTTTTCCCAGTATGTTCCAGAATAAGCCTCCCCAAGATGTCCAGAAAAGCCTGCTGATATATATCATCTTGGCATAAGGATTATTTTAAGCTAAAGTCAATCAAGGCCTGTGACTAACAAGAGAAACTATTACCATTCACTCAGCTACCCAGAAGAATACAGACTGAAGGATGGTCTAGATTTAAGGTTATCTCTAGAAATAACCTTTTAATTGAAAACCTAGTTATAGAGCATCTGGTTTTTGACATCCAAGTCCCCCTCCCCTCTCCTTGAAGGCCCAGGGCCCTAACCCACTCCTTAGCTCATGATATAAACTCTTGCTTTATCCCACTTACTCCAGAATTTACAGCTGCGTCTATTCTTCATAAATATATGATTAAATTTGTTCTTTCCCCTTGCTAGCCTATCTGATACCAAGAAGACTAACCTAAGAAGAACATCAGAGTGATAGGGGGAAATTTCCTCTCCACACTTATCCATGATGGGGAGGAGGCAGTACTGAATCATATGCAGATCCCTAGTGCTGGGAATCTCCTGTTGCAAAAACATGAATAATAACCAACATCTAGCTGTCAGGACTAACGGGGACTGTGAGACTGAGGATATCTTACTGAGTTACTGCCACACTTGAAAGATGACAAGGTCAACAATAAAGGATTTGGAGATGAATTCTGACTGGCAAAATACCTCAGCATATAGGAGTCTAAAGAAATGGGAAGGAAGAAGGCTACCTTTTCCAAAACATGGGTTGATGATAATTTGCAAGGTAAAACACTGTGAACAGAATGGGGGTGGCCTGGAAGGATGAATGGGGGTTACAGAAATAGGTGTGCACACATAGGCAGAACAATGCAGAACACACACATATTTACACATCCACACTTACTCTGTACATAAAATGCACTGTAATATTTTCTATTCCCTATTGACTTCAATGTTTTAAAAAATACTGCTGCAATTCAGTAATTGCTACCATCGCCCTAATGACTCACAGCCCACATTTGAAAAACAGTGATGGATGTTAATTATGAATATGGTAGTGATCATTTGACAATATATGTAAATCACACCATCATGCTGTATACCTTGAACTTACACAATGATATGTCAATTATTGCTCAGTAATACTTGTTTGTAAAGTCTCTAAAATGAAAGGGGAAAAAAAAAAAGACATGGCATTCTTCAATCTATATACCCCAGCAGGTTCCTAGAAAAAAGAAATCATCAATAGCTTGGCATAAACTCTTCCTGTAAATCCTTTCCTAGGTATTCTTGAACTGCCTGCTTAAAGAATTTGTTCTGGAAGGTTGCCAGGATTCAATTATTTCCCTGTGGAATAGTCTCTTAGCCCTGCTCTCATCTGTGGGGCTCTCAAAGGTGACTGGAAAGCTTTCCCTGCTCTGGGGTGCTTGTACTAGTACAGTGAACAATGCACCTCAGCTTCAAGCTCAAGCTTCCAAACCCTCTCATAGGAGCAGGGCTGCTTCCCATTTTGAAAAGAAAGACAGACTGGGAGCTGCTCTGCCAACTCCTATCACCTGTTAACTTTGCCTCATCTCCATAAACACTGGATGACCTTCCCAATTGGGACAAAACTCCCTGTTGTGGGCCCCCCAACCCACGGTGGCCTCTCTCCTTCTAGACGTTATTCCTTCAGGCCCAGACATTCTTGGCCAAATCCCTCTTTGTTATGTCCCTGGAGGCCACCAGCCCCACAATCCTATTTTCCAAGTCCTTTCCTACTCCCCACTATTAACTGGGGGACTAACTTTGGAAAATTTCCTAATATCTCAACCTAATTTTCTTCATGGGTAAACTGGAAATATTACCACTTACCTTTGGGATTTTCCTGAGAATTAATTTGTATATGAGACTTCCCTTTTCTTCCTTGCAGTAGCACGGACAATTCTCCCCAAGCTTCCTTTGCTTTCAAAACACTACCAAGTGTCATCAGATTCAATGCCCCATACTGTCCAAACTGCTGCGGAAACCATAACGCTCAAAATAAGTTTATAATGAGGCCATAGCATCGAAAGGACAGAAAGGTGGGAGAAAAAAAGAAGCTGCTATTTCCCCCTAATGAGCTGCGGGCAGGCTCCCCAGTGCTAGCGAAATGAATTAACTGTCGAGCTGACTTCATTCTAAGGACCCCGGCCGGCCAGGGCACGGAGCGCCTCGCCTGGACAGCAGGACCCGGCGCCGGCAGGCCCTCTCCGCTGCAGGGCATAGGGCGCAGGAAGGCCAGAGCGAGGAAAGTTTTAAGACGGGTGGGACCAGGGGTGAACAGAAAGCCCACCCCAGACCCGGGCGCCGCTGCGTCCAAGCTTTTCAGACGCCCTCCCGCGGGGTACGCGCTTCACCTGGCGGCGGGGAAGGCTTTAAACTTGGATGCTCCGCACCGGGTCCTCACTGCTGCCCTCCAGCACCCTCAAGCCCCGGTTCTCCCCTTCCCACTGCCATCTCCCCCAAAAGCCCCAAATTGAAAACCACCCCCTAAATCCAAGAGCCCGACTGCGGGGAGCCGCACGCGCCCCGCGTCCCGCCTCCCCGGGCCCCCGGGGTCCCCGCCGCGCCCGTGGTTACCGCCTGGCGCGCCCGGGCCGCGGGAGCGGCTCCCCCAGGTGCTTGAGCGCCGCGCCTCCTGCAGCCGCCGCGGGCTCGCGGGGCACTCGGGGCTGGGCGCGCGGAGCCCGTGCTGCGGGGGGCGGTGTGCGCGCTCCCGACCCGCCGCGGAGGCGGTGCGGGCGCTGGGGCCGCCTCCCGAGCCCGAGGGCGGCGAGGCCAGCGGCTCCAGCGGCCGCCCTCTCCCAATCCCGAGAAGCCTGGCGCAGACAGGAAAAAGGCATCGGGGGATTCTTTGCCCTCCTGGGCTCCGGAGTGGGTCCTTCAGGCCAACTTTGGGTACCCGAACTCCTTAGCTGAGGGAGAGGGAGTGGGGTAGCACGAAGAGGGGTGATTGGGTTCAAGTTCAACAAGGCTGGGCTCCTTCCTAATGAGCTATTTAAATTGCCATCTCGATTTTAGTTCCTCCTCCGGGCGCCAGGAGAGGTGCTGATGGACACATGTCCCCCCAACCGGGCCCCAGAAGGAAATGACTAGGAGCCATTTCAAGTTAGCAGACAAGGTCATTCCTCCCAATAAACACTTTTTTTTTTTTATTTGTTTGTTTGTTTGTTTGTTTATACAAGCACTGGGTACAGTCAGAAGCACGGGAGGGTGAGAGAATTCACCAGAGCCAGAGCGGGGAGCAGAGCAGGCAGACTGACGAAGTACACTGCTGAGGGGAGCAGCGGGCGGCAGGAGAGGTCTGCGCGCCATGTGGGACCCTCCTCCAGTGGCCGGGGAGCAGCCGGGGATCGAACCGGCGCCTCAGAGGCCGCTGGCAGCTTCGCAACCCAGCGCTCAACCGCTGCGCCACCGGGGAGGCCCAGTAAACACTTTTTGAGACCATACTCCATGAGCATCCCTAATCTGAGTGCTGGGCACGAGTATATATTCTAGCACAACACAGCAGATAAGTAAAATACGTTATTATATGTCACAGCGTTGAAGTGCTATGGAGAAAATGTAACTCAGGAAGGGCATGGAGAATATTGGCGGTGGGGTGGTTTTAAATCAGGTGGTTGGAGTTGATTTTACAAGCCCTGAAGATGAGCGAGCCAGTCATTCGTGCTGGTATTTGGGGAGAAAGCCCTTGCTGTTTCGCACTGAGATGTTCTTTATTGTATGGTACATTTGTTTTACTACTCACAGGTACCACAGTTCCATTTTTCAGAGAAGTAAACGTTAGCTTAAAGAAGCTAAGCGAATTGCCAAGGCCATATATTAGTAAATGGAGGAGCTGCCTTCCAGCTCAGGAAGCCTGACTCAGAAGTCTAGCTTACCCAGGGTTACACTGCAGTGGGGGGAATACAGCAATGGCAGCGCACATTGCTGCGCTGGTGATGGTATGATTAATTCAACCCCTTGGTGTTAGAATAGAATTCCTGGAAATGATGTCTCATTCATTGTTTTTTTTTTTTTTTTTTTTTTTTTCAAAAGCAAGTTTCATTATTATGTGTCAAATGAATTACTTTGCAAATCATCTTTTCAGCTGTGTGTGTATATTCCTCAGCCACACTCACAGGCAGTTTAATTCTAAGTGACATAATTTGACCATATGTGATGAGACTCTAGTCCCTGCTTAACTTTCTACATTGATTTTAGTTGTATTTTCCTGGTCCTGGGGATGCAATGCATCACTCGTGCAGTAGAACCTGTACCAAATGTCATAGGGCGTGGAGACATTGCTAGTCACAGCACAGCAGTGAAACTGCTGCTAAGAGGCAACAGCCCAAGCCTGCCAGCCTCTGCCTCAGCTGTCAGAATCAGATGGCCTCTTCTGGGCAAAATGCCAAGGGCTTGTGAGGCAGAGAACAAGGGCATGTTGTACTATGTGGAAAACCATCAGTTCCACTGCAGTAATGCAGTGGAAGCAACGTCATCAATAGGAGGGCAGAGCACCATTTCTCTCCTGCGTCTCTCTGCCTTCCCACAGCTGTGTCCACCCCCTTCTTCCCTTTCCCATCACCAGCATCTGCTTCCTACTTTCCCTTCAAGGTCCTTCTCAAATGCTGCTTCTTCCAAGAAGCCTTCCTCACTGCCATAGCTACAAATGAATTTTCATTCTAAAATCTGCCGCCTCTTTTATAGCACTTGTTATTTTCAAGTTTCACTCAAAGATATGCCCTTCCTATTCCTCCATGGGATACCTTGTACCCAGTGGATATATAATGAGTATTTTGTGGTTGTTAATAACTAAATCTATAAGAACATAGCTTCCTTGTCCTTTACTTTTGTCTTTTCATTTCAAAATACCTTTCAAGTTCACGGATTTTAGTGATAGGACTGTTACATGCAGCTATAGCAACAAAGAAAACAGGTTTGCTTTGAAGTAAATTCTATTCACCCCATTCCAAAATTGGACAACTGAGCCTTAAGAGTAATTCCCCAAGCTCACAATACTAGGTACTGGTAGAACCAAGATATAAATGCAGTACTATCTGACTCCAAAGGACAGGCTCTTTGCCACAGCCTCATGCTGCCCCCTGTTCAGTCACTCGTTCATGTATGTATTCATCTGAGCTGTCAGCAACTATTTACATTTACCGGATCAGGTCTGCATCCAGCATTGTGAAAAAGCAATTACTCATTTGGTTATTTTTTAACTGATTTTTAATTCTTTTGTTTTATCTTTTTTGTTTACTTTTATGAAGAAGCAATTATTAAAACACAGTTCTTGCCCTCAAAACTGCTCACAAACTAAAAGGTACATACAGGTAAGGAAATAATCATATGTTACTGTTACAAATCCTATAAAAGAGCTGCATGGAGGCTCTATAGCAACACTTGGTTTTACCTTAGGTGATGGGGAAGTAGGAAACAATATTTGAGAAGATAGAACGTAATTTTAATTTCAAAGGCAATATATAGTTTGCTGTAATAATGAAGAAAAGCATATGGCAAGCAGAGGAAGGAGCATATGCAAAAATAAGGAAGAATGGAAGAAAAAAATGCCTTCCGCAATGGATGAGGCAATTCAGGAGGCTGCAGCATGGGGAGAGCAACATTGAGATCAGGATGAAAAGAGTAGCAGGGCCCAACCACGACAGGTCTATGGATAAGCTTTGTGTGGTCCATGACCCCCTGCAAATGTGTAAGGTAAAGTCATGCCTGTCTATTTATGCAGACTTTTCACGGGAGAATGGATAGCTTTAGTCAAATTCTCAAAAGGGCTAACTGACCAGGACCAGGGGGAGGGGAAGTCAGTTGCCCTCACCAAGGTCTGTGGCCCAGTCCACAAACCACAGGTGCCCTCCAAGGAGCTATAACTTCAGCCAGAATGCAGTGAACACCTGGGAGTGGGCACAAAGCTGACCCTGCCAGATCTCAAAACACACAGTGCTGCTAGTCCTACGCAAGGATGCTGGACCACAACACTCCCAGCAACTGGACCCAGGAACCCCCTTAAGGGCACAATAAGACTGTGCTGGCAGAGGGCAGAGTAATGGCAGCCAGGAGCTCCTACCAAGAAGGCAGCAGAAAGCAGAATCACAAAGAGTTAAAACTCTATACCTCTGTGCAGGCTCCACTGCCCCTCCAGATTTACTTATTGCTATGGGGTAATTGTGCCCCCCTCCCAGATCCTATGTTGAAATCCTAACCCTTAGTACTTCAGAATGTGACTAATTTTTGGAGATAGGAACTTTAAAGAGGTGATTAAAATTAAATGAGGCTATATCATAAAGAAAATAAATAAGATGTGTTGGTGAGGATATGGAGAAAAGGAATCCCTGGTGCATTGTTGGTTGGAATATAAATTGATGCTGTAACTATGGAGATTCCTAAAAAATTCACTAGTGAACTACGATATGATCCAGTAGTTCCATTCTGGGTATTTATGTGAAGAAAACAAAAATACTAACTCAAAAAGATATAGATACCCCCATGTTCATTGCAGCATTATTTACAATGGGCAAGACAAGGAAACAACCCAAGTATCCATCAATGGATGTGGAGTGAGTGAGTGTGTGTGGGTGTGTGTGTGTGTGTGTGTGTGTGTGTGTTATGGCTAAATATTCAGCCATAAAAATGAATGAAATCCTGCCATTTTCAATAACATGGATGGACCTTGAGGGCATTATGCTAGAAAATAAATCAGATAGAAAAAAGAAATATGACTTCACTTATGTGTGGAATCTGAAAAAAAAAAAAAAAACAAACAAAAAAACAAACTCATAGATACAGCAAACAGATTGGTCCCTCCAGAGGCAGAGAGTTGGGGGGAGGATGGGAAAAATGGGTCAAGTGGGTCAGAAGATCTAAATGTAGTTGTAAAATAATTTAAGTCATGGTGATGTAATATATAATATGGTGACTATAGCTAATAATACTACATTGCAGTTTTGAAAGTTACTAAGAGAGTAGATCTTAAAAGTTCTCATCACAAGAAAAAAATTTGAAACTGTGTGGTCATTGTCTTA